TTTTTTTGCTTCAAATCAACATTTGTAATGCTGTGATTCACTTAGCTGGTAGCTGGTTGGTTTGGTTCATGCCTTGCAATTCTTTAACAAAATCATATTTTTAATATCCCTATGAGAAAAATGAATGGAAAAAAAAAAAACTTCTGGAGCCAAAGCCACTGAGAAGTGGGCGGCTGTTATTTCTATTCAGAGCTGATTAAAACAGGAGCTGTTCAAGTATCACACAAGTGTTCATTTATTGGATCATTTAATAAATGAATAACTCAATTGGTGATATTTCATTTGCTAATCTTCAATGAGAAAAGCACCCATTTTTGTGATTCCTCATTTGTAAATCACTTTGGGAAAAAGCGTCTACTAAATTAATAAATGTAAATGTTAGAATTGCAGGCCAGCTACAAAAATATATTTATACATGAATGATTAAGTCCATAAAGTGTGGGGAATGTTGTATGGTAATACTCTGTTACTAATGGCATATTGAATCAACATTTACAGGCCCAAACTCATTCAGAAAGGTCCAGCTGGGGAAAGTAACGGCATGAAGGCTGGCAAGTCTGTCACGAAGAATAATAAATCTATAATTTCACGGTAAGTTCAGAACTGATCTGCTCTTCAACAGTTGGCATGAAGTCGAAATCCACTCTATTTTCTAAATGCATCTTAATGATCTTGTTGTGGTTGATTGTTTTTTCTTTTCTTTCTGTAAAATGGGAGACTTCTCTCTGGTTGCGTATGCTGGACTTCTCCAGTCATTTAGTCCATTTAAACCTGGCCCTCCACAGTAGATTGCAAGCTTGCATTCAGATTTTCCTCCATCCAGTCAACAACCAATGGATAGAACCAAGCCCCCGCCTTACATTTGTATTTTTTCAATAATCCATTACATCTGGATGTACATCACAATACGTAAAAAAATATCTGTTGCTACGTCTGTTACACTGTAATTTTAAGGCAGGCTTTTACTGCATTAGAATATTTTTGATTCCTACTAATGACTTCGTATTCAATTTATACTGTTACTGCTTTGAGTTATTTAGAGGAAATCCTATGAGCGTCTAATAGAGCGGCTGCATAATCCATGGGCTCTTTAACTTGCTGCAATGTAGACAGCTAAAACCTGATTATCATATTCAGAACTTTTGGGCTGAATGAAACATTTAAAGATACACTCAGCTGTTTATTCAATGAAATGAAAAGTACTAATGACAAAAGCATATGAAAGTAGTTGCCTAGAAAAAGTAGTTTTATTGTACATAAGAGACTACTTATAATGGATGTCCTCACATGAAGCTTAATACTCTTTATCCTCTTATTAAAAGACGCATTTATTTGCAGAGTAAATTAATGATTGGCTACAAAAACATTTGCTTTTGCATGATGCTGCATCACACACTTCTGAATGGCTGCCAGTGCTTTTTGGAAGGATCATTTTTGGTCTCAGAATCATGTAGTTACAGTAAATACTGCATCTGCAGCCAAAACAAGCAAAAGTTACTTGGCACACCTTTTAACGTTGCTGACTTGCTTTATATTTAAAGGGTTAGTTTAATATAAATGTTTATATGTGAATAAAAGCCTAAACTAAATCTGTTCATTGTGTAAAGCGATTGTCTCCTTGATAATTTTTTATTTCAGTTTTAGTACTTTAAAGTTAAACTAAATAATATTATAAATGATGCCTTGGCAACTAGCTAGTTTTTATTTTATTTAAATTTAAAATTTTTCCAGTTTATTTCAAGTGATGAAAATGTTTTTTTTATGGTTTTTATTTTAGTTTTCTTTAATAATACCCCTGTTTGGAATGACATGAGGGTGAGTAGCTGATGACTGTTCATTTCAGGGTGAACTATCCATTTAATAGTCTTTATGCAATGAACGCTGCAGTAATACAGTTGATGTCTAATTCCTCCTTTATCCCCTATTACACTTCAGACCTAAACTGAAGAACGTGGACAGGAGCTCGGCTCAGCAGCTCGCTATAACGGTGGGCAATGTGACTGTCATCATCACAGACTTTAAGGAGAAGACTCGCTCCTCCTCCACCTCCTCCTCCACTGTCACCTCCAGCGCTGGCTCTGAGCAGCAGCACCTGAGCTCCAGCTCAGAGAGCACGGACAAGGGGTCATCCCGCGCCTCCACCCCCAGAAGAGACCATTCTTCTGGGCACAATGAGACCATGTGAAGGGGAAGAGATTCAGACACCGCAATCTCGCTTGGCGAGGCCCGGAGCTCCTATAGCCAATCTCGTAACTGTACATGGAAGAGGGATCTTTTCAACCCATTCAGACAATGTCCATCGTGACACATCGGCAGAAGTGTACCTGTCGAAAAACCCTCGTGGAGCACCTTGTAGATTGATATGTTGATGTTCACGTGAGTCACTGTCTGGCCGAGACCCACTGTATATTCTGTTCCCTACTCCTACCAGATATAATCCATGTTTGTGCACCACGGAAATCAGCGCTCCCAAGTTTGCATTATTATTGTTCATTGTCATTAAATTGTGCAGACGGCTGTTTTGACTTCGTTTAGAACGTAGAATCGTTTATGCTAAATGTACAGTATCTGAGCTCAATCCTCCATCTCTCAGACAGCTCCATGTCAACGATCCGTTGCTGCGGCTATTTGTAGAAAGCAAGTTCTCGACAAAAAGATCACGCTAGACCACAGTGTACAAGGAGATCCGTTCCCTTATTATTTCATATGACTCTTGTGTGTTTACATGGTGGAAACACAAACTGTGATTATGTGAGTTTACAGTATTATAAATACAAGGCCAACTTTGAAATCCATACGGTATACCATGTAGACATGTTTTGTGGTTCACAAGATGATAAGAGTATTTAGAATATTGTTCTTCATCTTGCTCTGTTTTTAGACTTTAAACCTTTGCATATTTCTTGTAAAATTATATCAAGATTCACAGTACTGTCTATTATTCAACTTCATGGCAATGAAAGTGTGAAGAGAGAAACTGGCAGTTGTTGGAATATGAAGCAGCTTATCTATTTGTGAGATTTCATACAGTATATTTACAGTTTACCAAGATCTCTACTGAAAAGTTGGAAAAATACTCCCAATATAGCATTGTGTAGTAAGAACTGGCTGCTTCTCGCCCATAAGGACGTTTTGCACAAGTTTACACATTCATTCTGACCTTTGTTAAAAATCCCAGAAGCTTACAAAGCTAATAAAATCCTTCTGAAACTCATTACCATCTCAAAGCATCTTGGGCACTTTGATGTGATCATCTAAATTTTCTACAACCAGTTTTTTCTTGTATAGTATCCAGTGTTTAATGTGTTCAAGTCGCCATGAAGTGAAAATTTGCCCTATTTGTTTTCTAAATGCATGTTATTGGTCTTATTGTGAACAGTTCATCCATGCATTTTATTATTATTTTTTGACACGATGTTTAATCACAATGTCATAACTGGACCTTGAATATGTTGATCTTTTATTTATTTTATTTTTTTTTTACATATCCATTGAATTTACCACTGTCTTAGCAAACCTGCACGGTGTGAAGTTATATATTCTTCAATCAACATCTCTTGCTGTTCCTTTAATTACTGGAACATCAATGAATTGTTGTAGGTCTCAGTCCCACCCCATTAACCCTTAAATCAGAGGGTAAACAAAGGATGTTGATACAGTAACATGTCCTATCCACCCTCTGGTTTTAGCTGTGTTTTGGAACATAATAGCTGGTTTCTAGCTAGTCTGAACTGGTCATTAGCTGCTACCATGCTTCAAAAATCAACTTTACTACCATAATCTAACCCTAACCTTACACAGTTATACTATAATATTATACTAAAATTAAAGTGAAAACTGAAAAAATTAAAATTAAAAAGCTAATTCAAAATAGAAATAATTACTATAATAATTAAAGTAGTTATTAATTTGAATTAGCTTTTATATTTTCACGATTTTAGTAATTTTATGTGATTTTTGTCTAATTTATTTTTTGACGTATTTGCCATTTTTATGTTTTACACATTTCTATTTAGCTTTATTTTATTTTAGTAATTTTATGTACTTTTGTCATTTTATTAGGGTTTTTTATACGTATTTCTATTATTTGTAATTTATTTTAGTTTAACTTGAACGTCGCTGCGACAACATTATCATTTACTAATATTAAAGGGGTCATATGATGCGATTTCAATTTTTCCTTTCTCTTTGGAGTGTTACAAGCTCTTGGTGCATAAAGAAGATCTGTAAAGTTGCAAAGACTAAAGTCTCAAATCCAAAGAGATATTCTTTATAAAAGTTAAGAGTCCCAGCTGCTCTGCTCGTGCACATCCCATCATCGGTTCTCTTAGCAGTTCAGTCAATGTACTATAGGAGTAACTGAATAACTCGGGATATTGGTTTATTTCGCGTCAGAGGGAGTGTCAGGCACTGACCGAGTAATTTAAGTAATTTGTGGATTAGTGCATACTGGACTGGAGACGCGAACCGTTTCAAACGACTCAGTTCGATTTGGTGAACTGGTTCGACCGGTTCACTAAGAAGATCCGGTTAAATAGAACGATTCGTTCGCTTACAAATTAGGCATTTGTTGCATCCAGTGGGGACATAATTACTGATTATAATGACATATACTGTGTTTTAACGCGTTGCGTATCGCGCTGCATAAACATAAATCCATGTCTGCATTTGTGATCGGAGAAACAACAAACAACAAGCATATTCTACACTGCTCAAAACTCGCGTTTGAATCATCATTGGCAAATTATTTAAATATAAAAAAAACGTACTTACAGGCTGTGAGTCAGAAGCGCCAGACTGTCCTTGCAAAGTTGGAACTGCCCAACTTTATAGAAACAGCCTTTGTGCACAGACGCATTAGGCTACTGGTTCAGGAAACAGTCCTCCATAAAATGCGCAGCACTCATCTGAATATTTGGGTTGAACTGTTCTGGAACAGTGTTGTCCCCTTTAAAACCTGTCTGAAAGCTTTTATTTTGAAGTGCGGCTGAGACAGAGGCGCTGCGTCTGACGTCACTCCCCAGTCCGACTCTGTTGTTGTTGTTGTGTCGGTGACGCGGCAAGTCCAGCCGGCCGAACGGCAAATGAGTCAGCATCAATAATCTGCCTATCTGTGGATGTGGAGATTAATACAGATCTCCCAGCACAACACTCACACATCGATTAGCTGTAATAAAGCAAAAATGGCGGTTCCTGCTGCCCCAAACCTGCAGCTGAATACGGCGAGACAAAGCAGCCCTGTGAACTCTACAGAAAACGACATCCACATCGACGAGAGAGAGCTGGAAAACATCACCAACCACATCGAGGACGGCACCTCGCTGCCGCTGCACTCTCCATGGACCTTCTGGCTGGATCGGTAGGCTGATGTTGGCATAATACTGTTATCATGGATTCGAGATTGTATATTCACAAAGCTTGTGAACAAAGGCCTAAGATTGGTATTTCTAATTTTTTATTGCTAACTTTACTATTTTCAGTTTCTAGACGAACACATGTAACACTAATAGATGGTTCAGGTGCCTGTATTTAGTGTTTGTAAGTTTTATGAGTGTCATAACGCACAGCTGATATATTAACTTAGTAAGTAGGTCGAGTCACCTGTAGGTCATGGTTGTTATTTAATATCAGATGTCATGTTCTTTCTGAAGCTCTGTGTAATAGAGCATAATATGGTAAGGGTGTACCTCAAGGCTTTGTCGTGAGCCCATTTAAGTTTTGTTTGCGTTTTAAAATGTAGGACACTGTTAGTGCAAAATAACTTTTGAGATGGTGAACTGACCACATCTAAGTTGATTGATCATTTCATATATATATATATATATATATATATATATATGTGTGTGTGTATATATATGTATATATACATTTTCCTTAAGCTTCTCTTCCTTAAAATTCTCTCCAGTTAGTTTGGTAATGATTTTCAAAGGGTTGAAGTCCTGTTTACTGTCCAACTGACATTTGGTTGCCATAATGATTGTGAAATGTTTTTTTTCTGTAACTCATGGCATGATCTCAAGCTCTGAATTGCACTTGACATAAGACAGGAGAAGATAACAATAACACCTCTTTGAATGTATGATTTATGACACAGATATGGTTGATATACCAAGCTTAGTGTAGCAAAATGGCTTGTTTAAAGGTATAGGTCACCAAAAAATTACAATTTTCTTTATTTACAAAAGTCTTTATTTACTCACCCACGTCATTGCAAAATTTTATGATATTCATTTGTCCGTGGAACACAAGACGTAAATTTCTGAAGAATGTCCTGACCGTTCTTTAGCACATAATATGAGGCAGACAAGTTCCAAAATGACAAAAAGCACAGCACTTTAAGCAACCATCTGTCATTCTGAAGCTTTACAGCAACAGTTCTCATTCACTTTCATTATCTAGGCCACTCTTTTGATTATATTACTCAGAAATTCACCCTTGTTCCACAGAAGACAGAAAGTCATACAGGTTTGGAATGATATGAGGGCGAGTAAACAATGACAACAGTTTTTATTTATAGTGAATTATTATTATTAAAGCTATTAGTGTACATTTTATAATACTTTTTAATTCTTTATACATTCCAGGTCATTACCAGGTACAACGGCAGCAGAGTGTGAATCAAATCTGAAAAAGATATACACCGTCCACACTGTACAGGTAGGTGTTGCGCTATTATTATTTTAGTATTTGTATAATTGTAATTTTATAATTATAGGTAAGTTTTACAAAAATTGCTGAAAAAGAGGTACTCTACCAACAGAAGAGGAGGTGCAACCAAAAATCTAAAAGTCATGGCAATTAGAAAAGGTGCAACACTCACTCTTGAAGAAATCCAACTTCATTGGTAAACGTCACATGTATTTTAACCAATAAAGTTGGATTTCTTCAAGAGTGATTGTTGCACCTTTTCTAATTGACATAATTATAATTTTTGCCTGATCCGCCTGAAAAAATAGTTCTTTTGATACTATTGAAGGTGTGGTGAAATTTCTGTTTTTGTGGAATTTTTATTGTGACATGAAAATTTGACAAGTCCAAATTTGACAGATGCTAACAACATTTTTTTTTTAATGTTAGGACTGAGAATCAGTATTTTGCTTGATCATTTTCTCCAGTCATTATAGCTTCTATTTATATTTGTATATGCCTTAAATGAAATTAGGCACCAAAACATTATAACGGACAGTAATAGTCTTTAATAGTTTTGTAAACTAGCAGAAAAAAGTTTACTGTTGGTAATTGAAAAAAATATTGTCGCTGATATATTGTGCATCACCTCTTTTTCATAACATAAAGAGTTTCTGGAGTGTGTACAACAACATCCCTCCTGTGTCCTGCCTCCCTCTGAGGTGTAGCTACCACTTAATGCGAGGAGAAAGAAGACCACTATGGTTAGTCTTTCATCATATTCAGCCAATTATCGATATACTCAGCTGTTCGGGTCAGTAGGAATTTTGTTAAAAATAATACTTGCTATCAAGGCATTAAATTGATCAGAAGTGGCAGCTAAGACATTTATAATGCTATTAAACTTTTCCATTTCAAATAAATGCTCTTCTTTTAGACTTTCTATTCATCAAAAAATTCTGTTTATAAACTGAAAGTGTTAATAAAAAATGTATCTTGAGCAGCAGATCAACATATTAGAATGGTTTCTGAAGAATCATGCAAAACTGGAGTAATGATACTTTGACATCACAGGAATAAACTACATTTTAAAATATAATCAGATAGAAATAATATTAAATTGTAATAATATTTCAGAATATGTTTCTGATCAAATAAATGCAGTCTTGGTGAGCATAAGAGACTTCTTTCGAAAACTAAATCTTACAGACCCCAAACTTTTTAAATGGAATGCATATCTGTCCTTAGCTTGGGAAATGCCTTTGGGACAATTCACGTAAACCATTTTGTTTGATTATATTTGTTTCAATGTCTACACAGGGAAGAGGAAAGCAATGCCAAGGGAGGTGTTTGGAAAATGAAAGTGCCAAAGGAGAGCACAGTAAGTGTGCTAGTTTATTAATGGTGTCAGTTCAGGCCTAAAGCACTTTGACTTGTAGAATGCATAATGTAAATACATAAAATTCATATGCAAATTCAGTATTTTCCTATACGTTCTGGTTTGTTTAATCGCTGCCAAAGTATAATTTGTCCGTATCCTTTTTTTCTAACAGTTAGCTGTGTGGAAAGAGCTGCTATTGGCTACAATTGGTGAACAGTTCACAGATTACTGTGCATCAGGTGAGTGTACTGTAGAAATATGTTTTATTAAATTATTTACATTATTTGTTTATTTTATTAATAGCGTTTCAATGAAAATGAATAATTCAATATCTGTTTGTCTTTTAGAGGATGAGGTGGTAGGAGTAAGTGTCAGTGTGAGAGAACGAGAAGATGTGGTTCAGGTCTGGAATGGAAACGCCTCTTTTGCCAATGAGGCAAACGTTTTAGGAAGAATCTACGAACTTCTTCCACAGATATCTTTTAAAGCAGTATTTTATAAACGTAAGTATGTTTGCATTCTTCTCACTATGTCGCACTCTCCATGCTGAGAGTTAATTTTTTATTGTTGTAACAACCGTTGCGTGAGAACTCCTATGAAACCCTAATGACTTGATACAATGTTACAGATTTTTCATTCAAATTAATTGTATTTATAGATTTGGTTAAGTTTATTAACACAGTTTAAGTGCAAGAATATTGTAAAATTGTTAGTGATTCATTCAAAACTTTTTTTTTCAGCACACGAGGAGCACCATGCATTTGAAGGTGGTCGCTCAAGACATTAGCAAGCTTTGCACATTCACCACAGTTTTTCCTGTTTTTGGACTGATTCTAGAAAATGGACTGAAAACTGAAAAATAATCCCTCCTGTGCGAACAGAACTCTGGTTTTGCAATGGTTTCATATCACATAGGGAATGTTACAACCCTGTTTTTAAGTTGTAAGCGTTGCAGATTATCCCTCCACGCTTTTCGTGAGGAGTTTTCTCATAACAGATATTTAGGCAATATCAATAAAGATCACATAGCCAGTAGCATATGTAATATAAATCATCACAAGAGAACAATGTTGCCAATTGTTATTGTTTCCCCCCCTATTTCTAAGTTTTTAGATCTAATGTGCAGTCCAGTAACAGTTGCTGCTTGTTAAAGTATATACTCGTTGTGTTGGAAATTTCATTTACAGAGTTAGAGCGTTCATTAGGATCAAACTTTTTAGGGCTGTTTTTCTTAGACACACATTAGGCATAACCTTAGACTAAAAAAAAAAGTCTAAGGCTAAGCTTAATCTGCTTCTGGGAACTGTCTTTTATGCAAAAGTATTGCACATTTCTCTTTGGAAAAAAAACTGTCTGGCTTGTAGGTTATTAATAATTTCAGAGCAAATGTAAGTGGGTGTAACAACCTTGGTTATAACCGTAAGTATACAGCAAAATGCATATGCAATTCCTCGTTTTCACCCTAAACTTGACATTTAAGTAAATTAAAGTAATCCTGTAGTAGTCACATGAGGGTAAATTCTTGCATCTTGCAAACAGCTTTGCTTTTATGATTTAGAAAACTGTATCCAGACTTCCTCCTGTAGTATTTTATGTATATGAAAGCTGTTTTAGAATGGTGTCAAAGCACTGTTGAACTTCTTTTCTTTTTTGCTTACTGCCTTGTGGTTGATATCCTGTATTTTGTTCTATGTTTTGCTGTAGCCGCTTAGTGTCTCGTCTTTGTGAAAATAGTCCAAATGCTTAATATTTTCATTGTCTGAAATCATTAAGTCTTTTTTTTAACTTATGCATTTGCTTCTAACTGCCTTTTTATTCACTGTAATCACACTGTGTCTTGTTTCAGAGTGCTAATTGTAGTTTGTTTTATTGTGTTTGGATGGATGGCTATGTTGGAAAACTTGTGAGTCGAGGGGAGATAGTGTAGACGTTGTCATATTATGAAACTGAAAACGACCTGTGTAATCATCAGAGCATATATTTTTTTAGTTTTTCAGTACCAAAGAGATTTCCTTTCTGTTCTCCTATGTTATAATTCATCATCGTCTGAGATCTGCACGTGTCTGCGTCCTTCTGAACTTGCACAGAGGGAGTTAAAATCTTATGTTTGTCTTTGCTGATGTCTTTTCAGTAGCTCACTTTATGTTGTGTGGCGATTTTTATTTAGGTTTGTCAAGTCGGAAACTTCAAGCCCGAAAAGACCTGCATCATGATCCAGGTACCTTAATGCACTAAAAAGCACAATTATGATTTTGTCCTTCCTGTGGGCAGGGATGTGCAAATTAACCTGTACATGCAGCTGACCTTTCATATTTCAGCCTTTTCCTACCTATCGCTGATCTCTCAATGAGATGCCAGTACTAACGTGGATTTTTGGGCTTATTTTCTTGACATTTGTGTCGGTTTTCCTGGCTCCCAATCAGGATCTGAAACCTCAAACTGATTGTCAATCTTCTGGAATGGTGCCTTGTGTTCTTCCAGGGTTTCACTCGTAGAATGTTCTGTTTATGTCTATGTATTTAATCAGTTGTATTATTATTTTTCTTTTCTTTTGCTTATAGGTTTTGAACTATTGAATAAATACAACGCAGAATTCGAAATATGACTATTGCAGTTATTTCAACAAAAATATAGTGTCTTTCATTTCAAATGCATGCATTTATGATGAAAGAAATACTAATGTAGTCTGCAGCGGTGCTGTTTCCTGTAACCACTAGGTGGCGCTGCACACCCTTTAAACGCAATTTTTAAAGTCTTCACATGTCTGCATCTCCAAAACCTTTATATAATTCACATTTCACCAGATTAGCGCCACATATCTTTCCCGCCAGCTCGTGTTTGATATGTTATTGATTAATGCCTCATGAAATGAATCATAGATAGTGCGCAACAGTATTTATTCCTCGCGTCTTGCGCGACGACGCACTACAAGCCCTCAGCAGGTGGACGTGACGTCACGCCCCAACAGCTACTCTGCTTTCCAACTCACCTCAAAAACTCGGTTTTAACTCGACTCACACACCAACTTTATCCAGTTAATCTCATTCATCGTGTATAATTCGACGCTCGCTGTAAACGGTCAACGGTAACGGCAAAATCAAGGCGCGTGGTCCGTAAAGTAGTCCCCGGGATGCGCACCGCGGATGAGCACACTTGTTTACATTGTGCTGGCGGCCAGCGCTGAGAGCGCTCGGCTGCGCGAGCTTCACGGGAGACTGACACACTGCGCTTTCCAGCTCGCAAAAGTTCGTTCCAGGGTCGCCGTTAAAGTTGAGAAACCACTTCATTCCCGGTAAGTTTGTTCTTTTTTATCAAGTTTCCTTTTCTGTGTTTATTCGTAATTTACATGCGATGTTGATTTGCTAGTTATTAGCCTTATCAGAACTAACGGCAGCGCTGAGGAGCAGAGGAGGAAGCAGCTCCTTCAAAGCGCTCCACACTTTTATCGCAATTTATTTAGTATTTTATAACAAGGAATTTACCTTGAACAAAGTCGGTGGTTATCATTACACTTGGCAATCGTCGTAGCATCCTATTTAAACCCTTCATGTGAGTGTTAGCTGGCTAACATGTGCCCTTGGTTCAGTTCATGTGGAGAACAAAAACAGCCCGAGTAACTTAGTAAGTTAACTTTAGTTCAGGGCACTGCATGAAGTCTGTCGTAAATCACATCTAACCTCCAAATCTCCAGTTTTTTTCTTTATTTATTATTAAACTGTTACGATTACAAAACAAATCTTAGCACAGCATATACAAAAAGATACACATACTGTGCATATATACATACATTATTGGACCATTGGTCATGCAAAATATACATAATACATGCAGTACTGTGCAAAAGCCTTTGGCCATTAGTATTTTCACCAAAAAGAAAATTTGTTTTAAGTCAGTTCTTTTTATCTTTTGCTGTAGTGTGTCTGTAGGAAATCTCAGTTTACATTTCCAAACATTTCTTTTGCCATTATTTGTAATAATGCAGTGAGATTGTTGTATGCACAAGGAGTCTTGAGAGCAGCCAGTGCTCCACACAGAGATCTGATCTCACCATCATCCAGTCTGTCTGAGATTACATGAAGAAACAGACTAAATCCAGAAGAACTGTGGCAACGTCTACAAGACACTTCAAGAAACCAAGCTACAGTACTGTGAAAAGTTTTAGGCACTTGTGTAAAAATGCTGTAAAGTGAGGATGCTTTCAAAACTAATGTCATAAATAGATTATATTTATCAATTAACTTCTGTTAACTAAATCAAATCAACATTTGGTGTGACCACCCTTTGCTTTTGAAACAGCTTTTGTACAAGGTACACTTGCACATAGTTTTTCAGGTAGCTTTGCAGGTAGGATTCTTGAAGCGTCTTGGAGACAGTTGCCACAGTTCTTCTGGATTTAGTCTATCTCAGTTTTTTTCTGTTTCATGTGTTTCCAGACAGACTGGATGATGGTGAGATCAGATCTCTGTGTGGAGCACTGGCTGCTGTCAGAATCCTTGTGCATACAAAAATCTCACTGCATTATTACAATTAATGTTAAAAGAAATGTTTAGAAATGTAAACTGATATTTCTTACTGACACACTGCAGCAAATTATAGAAATAACTGACTTAAAACCATTTTTTGTTGGTGAAAATACTAGTGGTCTAAGACTTTTGCACAGTAGTGTAAATACTTTTTTTTCTGAAATTAAGTAAATAAACAAGTCTTCAGTTACCCAATTATTATGCATTTAGGCTTAAAATAAAAAAATGTAATTTGTTCATGTTTAAATCAGTTATTTTCTTTTTGAACATCATCTTTACCCATTCTAAATCTTGACTTAATGCATTCTTAAATCTTTTTTTTTTTTTTTTTTTTTTTCCACACTATAATTATGCAGCCTGTATTACAATGTCTGTCAGTGGGCATTAGTCAAATCTCATTCAATTGAGTGTTAATCCTAACTGGGTGGTTTGATTTTGGTCAGCAGGTTTAAACAGGGACTCACATGCTTCCTCTCATAGGGGAGTGTTACTTTGGTTGTGTCTCACAGCCTAGTAAAGTGCCTACCTAGACTGTATTTTTAGCCACCTATAATACACAAAAGTGCTGCCTAGATTGGCAGATCACTAGATTTTTACAGCCAGTATTTTTTGTCTGCTTGGTTTGCTGAGTTTCATTAAGTAATTCATATATGTACTAAAGAGTTAAAAAAAATTCTCCTTGAGTTTCATTGTTTGATTTTGAATTTGTTGAAACTACAACAAACAGAAAAGCTACGCCCCTTGACAGGTTTCATTTCTCCTTTTTGCCTCTGAGCGTTTACAATTCAGTTAATCATTTGTTGGTGCTCTTTACAGGCTTCCCATTCTGTCTTTTTTTACTTTAGTTGTCTGTTCTTAAACCAGGTGTTACCTGCCCTAAGGATCTGGTTCGCTCTTTTTACAGTCCATTGTGAAGATCTGTCTATTCAGCACAACTTCTGTAGAGCATTCAAGAGGATTTCATTTGTTAGTACAGAGGGTTCCAATTAGGGCTGGACGATATGGCCAAAATTGATATCACGATATATTTCTTAATTTTGGTCGATACAATATAATTCCGATATCGATATGAACACTATTTATCTGATTAAAAATCATATCACCGTTATTGAAAAAAATTATATCGCGATACATATTGATATTGAATTATTGTCCAGCCCTAGTTCCAATTGTTTTTTTGTTTTTTTATGCCAAACCCATTACACATAAAATATTTACCTGAAGTACCTGCGATTTTAAGTTTCAATAATTTAACAACACATTTGCATATCCACACTTCTCTGATGTCAGTTAATGGTCACATGACATGCAAGTAAACAGATTAAATATGTATATATATATTTGTAACTTATACATGTTATCT